CAGTGCCATGGGTTAGTTGTGGCTTTGACAGTGCTGCGAATGGTTGGACTTGATGATCTTCAAGGTCTTTTCCAACCCATTTGATTCTATGATTCTATGATTGTCCTCCAAGCTCCTGACAGAACAAGTTCCCCAAGGAGAATTTGGGTACATGCATGCAAGAAAGTCAAGAACCGAGATTTCAAAGCTTTTCATGTAAGGAGAAATACATTCCCCAAATCTGACAGTAACCATACCTTTGACTTACTTAGGTACCCAGAGAGGCAGAAAGCAGGTCTGTGACTTCATTGCAAGCTAAGGCCAGGTTCTGTTTAACACATGTTTTCTTGCAGAGCCATGGTTTGGGAAAACAATACCTCCCAGGCCTTGGGATATATGTCGTTGTTATCTGTGTATGCTTACTGAGATCAATTTGAACTGAAATAGTTGTTTCCTATTAAAGTTTCTTGCTAAGTTGTACCCCAGACTTCATGATAACCTAGGAAATGCTTCTCAGCCTAAGAGCGATGAAGAGGTAAGATGAAGGATAATTCATTATTTATCATATTAAAAAAGACTACATATCACTGACTAGTTTTGTGCAGTTTTGTGCCAGTTTTGTTTGTTCCCACTTAGTTTTCCCATTAGACTTGTACTGTCTTCACCTTCACTGCCAACTGTTTGATTGCTGTTATCTGAGTTTGTCTCTTTAGCTAGTGGTGGCAGCAAAGCAGAATAAAATGGTGAGGGACCAGAAGAGGAAGAACTTAGGTGAGGACAGTTTCTTTCTAAAAGGAAAAGTTGTAGGTGAGAAAATAGTAATAGTAAGACAGTGTTCAGTCACTGGAGTGTAGTTTTGAGTGCAAATTAAAACTCAGAAGAAAGTGTAACTGAAAGGAGGCTTGATGCCAATTAAATAGAAATGCAGCCTGAAACTCTCTGCAGAAGAAACAACAGTTCCACAGCTCTGTCACAGAAGTCTGTTTCCTTCACTGGAAGATGCCTTTCTCATTAAACAAGCCACACTGTCTTGTTCTTGTCTCAAAATAACTCAGAAATTTCTTCCTTTGGTTATGACTGTTCAGTTCCTTGTGATGGCAGGAAACAGAGAAAAACTGATGAGTTGCAGCTGTAATTTTCTGAAGTAAATTTGAGGTTCATACAAGACCATCAGGGAGAAATACATAGACCTTCATATAAGAGTTGGGGTATTAGCACTGACTCTGTGTGATATCCTCTTTTCTCCACACCTATCCCAAAATAGTGCAGTAACAAGCCAAGAACACTGATAGTACCTACTACATTGAACTGATGACTTTGATTCCTCAAGTAATTTACAGATGATTGAAATGTTAACAGCTCCAAAATCCAGTCTCCAAAATCATCACTGCCACTTTTGGTCATATGTGTCCTAAATATAACTTGTTTTCTTCTATGAGAACTATGGTTAGGAGACTTGGTGAGCCTTATATTTTTTAAATTGACCCCATAATTATTTCTCTATTAGCTACCTTTCAGCCTTTAGGGTTTCCTGTGTCATGAATCTCCATTCCAAGCCTAGGGACTTTGTTATAGCTTTGCCTTTTAAGATCATGACTGGAGATTATACCAGGATATATAGCCATGTAGACTAGGGAGCAGTTTGTAAACAGACCACTTGTTGGTACCTCTAGGTAGTATCTCAGCCAGCTGCCACTGCCTCTGCTAACAAAGGAAGTACGTTACAGAAAAAGAATATCTGGAGGTTATAGTAGATTAGAAGCCAATTATACTTCCAGAACATGCTACTGCAAGAAACTTTAGTGCAATTGTGGGATGTACAAACAGAGGTTTTGTAAGCGGCAAAGAGTGTGATTTTCCTGCCCTTGCACAGCACCGCTCAGAAGCTGTCTGAAAAAAAATGAAAACTAATTTGAGAAGCCCAGAAGAACGTAACACTGTTTTTGAGAGCTTTAAAAACAGACTGATGAGAAATGGTTGTCAAGAATTTTGTCTCTTCCATCTAGAATAGAGACACGGGAAGAAGGACATGAAAATATACCTCTCAGTAATTAAAACACTACTGAAAGAGAAAAGAGGTCAAATGTTTCCCATGTCCACCAGGTGTCTTCAAACATAAACAGAATTTTTTTAAAGTGGACTGCAATCCATGGTTTCATTTTGTACCAGGTCTGGAATAGAAAATTCTTTACCACAAGAGAGAAATAATCCAGATATAAGAAAGAAACCCTATATAGTGATAAGTGGAAACATCGATCTTGGGAATATTTGGCAATTTTAACAAGGCTACAAGCAGTGCCAAGGCCACTTACCCTTCCCCAGAGAAGGGAGACAGCTAAAAGAATTTCTTCACATTCCTTCCAGGATTAATGATTTCTGTAATTCATAAACTCATACATGCGCAGAACAGAAATCCTACACAGTCAACTTTCAGAGCTTTCCCACCAAGCTCTCCCAAAATGGCAACAGCATGTCAATTGCAAAATAACATTAATGTCAACACCTGAGCCTCCAAGACAGATTTTGTTCATCAAGTACCCATTGGTATTAGCTGCCAAGGAGACAGCTGTTCTAGTAGTGAAGTCCTCCCTTTCATGGCTCTTCTCCTTTTAGTGGTAATGTTTCCTCGTAGTCTGAGTACAGATTGTATATAATCACTGTTCTCTCTCCATTTCTGGTTTATAGTATTTTGCTGTCTTCATAGAATTCAAGCATCTTTAGTTTTATTTTATACTCTATATAAGTGTATGATGACCATAAACCATATGTTAAGTTGACTTTCACAACAGAACAGCTGTTCTGGCTATAATGGGATTGGTTCAAACTGCTCTCAAGAGCACTTACTCTAAAATCACTGGAGCAGGTTTGTATTCCTGTGATAGTCTCCAGTGAACACTCAGCAATAACATGGCTACTCTTGATACAATCCAAGTGTTAAGAGGAAAACAGGATGGACATCTGAACAGGGAAGTGCTGTTTCAGTGGCTAAGACTTTACTGAAAGGAAATGCTTTTTAAACAGGAGGTATTGATTGCTGCTTCAGTCCCAGCCTAGATTTTAACAAAAGGTGGGACCACAAAATTGTGTCACATTCACAGTATTTTCCCTGCCTTAGCCTTCTGGCTGAAAATAAGAACAAATGGAAGATTAATGTGTAATACACTAATGATTTATGCTGTCAAACTGTGGTACTCAAGCTCATCTGAGATCTATAGTCATCATCTGAAACCCCTTATCACCTATAGTGTTCACATACAAATTATGTTCCCTCCAATGTCAAATAAATCTTAATTTAGCTTTAACTCTGATGCCTTAGGGTCTCTGATTAAGGAGATCATAGTATCTCACTTTGCTGCAGGATCCCTCAAGAAGCAAAGTACAGCATTTGAAGAATAGTCTGATATAAATATAATAACCTACAAACATCATGTTCAGACCCGATATCTTTAATTAAGAAAATGCCAATTGTCCCATTTGGAAGTTTGTAAGAATAGGACAGATAAAAGCAAAACATTTACAAGAGGAGCGTGACCATTTAACAGTGCAGTTTCTGGGACTGCCTTTGAGGAACAGTCATATCACAAATGTATTTTCTACTGGTGTTATTTACCACAGAGCAATGTGGCAGCTTGCAGCTGAACTCTACCCTTGCAGTCTTGTAACCGGAAGAATGCTGAAGGGCTTACAGCATTGCTGGTGTGAAATGTTGCCTGCAACCTGGGTAGTCCCTCTTCCCTTGGGTTATTGTTTTGTCTTCCTATATCTTAACGTTTCCTTAAAAGACACAAAAGTCAGTTGTTTCTCACACTCTGCAGTTCTTGCCCTTAAAGATAATGGTCTGTCAAACTCTGCACTTTCTTCCCTTCTATTCTATGGTTGTCCTTTATACCCACAGCCTTTATGGCACGGCTATCAATTTGCTTTTTACTTCCTGCCTGCAAACCCACACTCCTTGTTCTTTTTTTTTTTCTTTCACACATGCAGACTTACTCTGTTCTTCAGATGTGCTTTTTGAGTACTATGTTTGAAATTCAGTATCAGCTTCCCTGAATTAACCTGTTTCACTTCACTTGGTGACTGTATATTCCCGAACAGTTTTTGCAGCATTACAGTGCTCTGCTTATCTCCTTACCTCAGAGAGACCTATTTGGTGTCAACAAGAATAGCACCCATTTCCACTAGTGTATCTTTAAGCTAGACTTCTTGCCACATCTGCCTTCCTCTTTCACAAGCAGACTTTTTAAATAGAAAGCAAGAAAGTAAAAGAAACTCTGAAAACCGCTGAAACTTTTCGTTTTCTTTTTAATCTTCCCTCCGACATCTCACTGGGAAGGGGAATAAATGACCAAGATGCACATATAAAATGAAGGGAGTTTCCACATTTTCAAGGCAATGTACTTCAGAATAGATCCAAAGTAAAGCAGTTTATTCAGTTCTGATTATGGATGTCTGTAAAGTGACAAGGTAAGATAAAATGGTTTTGTCTTAGGTCACAGTGACCAAATTGGGATCTTAAGTTATACCTAAAGTTTGACTTTGCTGCTGCCTAAAGTATCTTTCACTTCCAAAGGTGACAGAGAAATAGCAGCTGTGGCAGTTTAATTACAGCTGAGTCTGCAGTAATGTATTCTGCAGAAATCCCCCACTTACATATTCATGCAGCTTTTACCCTCTGCCTCTTTTCTCAAATTCAGTTTGCCCTCAGCTCTTTGCAGCATGACACATCTCCCCAGGGAGTTCGCCTCTTTATTTCGGAAGGCTATTTGGCTTCCCTACATGCACAGAAATTGCATCTGCTCTGCTAAATCAGAAGACACTTGCATCTGTGTGTGAGAATGGATTTGTTCTGCGTTCAGTTGTCGCACTACAAAAACTTCAGAAGCCATGGAAGAGTGAGGATCATCAAAGAGTCCATCTTCAGGAGAGAAGGGCAGAAATTTAATTCCACTCCTGATCTCAGGACTTGTGGCTAACACAGCTAACTTCCTGTGGCCACATCACACATCAGGGAATGGCCTGTCAACAGGTCCCTGTTGTCCTTTTCCTTATGAAACCTGCATCTCTGCCAGCCACTCACAATGCCAGATAAGTGTATTGTGAAGACTGGGAGCACAAAACCACTGAACAATGAACTCTATCTATTTACATTTCACGTTGACTGCAGCATCTTTAGTGTTGGCTGATGCAGGTGTTAGGCACAACACGTAATGAGGTGGGTGCAGAGGGCGATTTTTGCTGCCAGGCTGAAGGCAGAAGTACAGTTTGAGGTCACGTCTTCACTTTTCCCCCAGGCTTCTCACAGGATGACATCTGCCATCTCCCTGCCAAAACACAGGCGTATGTTCTACTAGACAGCGTCAGCAAACTGCATGGTGATGGCTACATTTCTCCTTACACAAGCAGATGACATTGTCACAATAAATGACTACAGTGCTAAACCTAAAATGTGTCATGAATTGGCTCGACCCTTCTGAAGAATTAGATCTTAGTTTCTATTTGTCTCACCTGGGGAGAAAAAATAGAAAGCTACTGTTACTTCTTTAGTTGTGACAGAAAACAACTGAGAAAAATATTTTGGAAGCTGAGAGGTTTTCTTTTTTCAAAATATTGCACCAAACCTTCTAAACTAAAAGTTTTACAGTGAAAATGTAAGGTACAGGTTTCTGCTTACCATGTAGAAAGAAACAGTAATTCTTCCCAGGAGAAGACAACAGCTCTCCAAGAAACTTTGCTGTCCTAGATACAACAGTATTTCAACTATCTATCTGCTGGCACCAGCTATGTATTCAGAAATGTATTCCTTCCTATATTCAGAAAATCACTGGCAGGGGAAGAAAAGAGCAAACACCTAACACCTCCCATGAGCTGCTGTTAGCATTTGTTTTGATGAGTTAATAAGAAGCCATATGGTCTCACAGCTTCTATGCTCCACTCGAGCTGGCTTAGGTTTCCAGGCACTGGTGGGACTGCATGTCTGGAGGGTCAGATTTTGATATACCTTCATTTTCAACTATATTAATCTCTTAAGCATTTTCCCAACAACCTACCTTAGCCCACTGCCAACAGGAGTATCTTCTGCCCAATAAACACTTTCTGTTTCCAGATGCTAGGGTACAAGAATACAGCCAGGATTAGGAATTTGCGGTCTAAGGCTGAGCAGGTCAGAGAGAAACAGCCACCCAGTGAACAAGTCACTAGGGTTGTATTTCTTGGGAGTGGCGCAGCAGCAGACAGGCCTGAGGTCTTCTTGGACCTGCTGACAGACTGGGAACTGGCTGCAATTAACAGCCAACTCTTCCAAACTGCCTCTAGCACAGCTTAATTCTCACCTGGACCTGTGACCTGGTGATTCAGTGAATGGCTTTTCTTTACGAGTCAGAACTGAACAACTGCCTTAGAGAAGGAGTTATAGAAGCTGTTATAGTAATCTTTCAGCTAGCCTCCACATAAAGACTTCAGTCGTAGAAAGAGAAATTTCATAGCATCTTCGTAAGTGTCCTAGCATTGACCAGTGTCTGCACACTGCACCTCCGGTAGTTTTGTCTGCATGAATAACTAAATTAAGTTTCTCTTTAGAATGTATGTTGGGGTCTTATATTTTTAGGGTAATACCTCTTAAGACAGAAGACTACATCAGTTCCACAGAAAAAGGAAGAAATCTTTTACAAAGATAGGGTAAAAACTCCCCAGAGCCACTAATTCTGAAGTTAACCACTGAGAAATATTTTGTGTCTATTTATTACTTATGAATTAAATTCTAGTCCAGCCTTTCTGTTGTACTTCAGTTATATTTTTTTTCTTTAGGCAAAATGTAGGTAGTGTTTTGATAAGGGAACTCTTCTTCTGTTGTTACTGCAATTTCCCAGCTTTACCAGAAATTTTTACTCTCAGATAGTATTCTCAGTAATATTCTGCACACCTGTGCAGGTTATTTTGGAAACCACATTCAGCAAGGAAGAATAAATAAGGGTTTTTTTTAAACTCTTTTTTAATAGATTAAAACGAACAAAACAAAACCCCAAACCAAACAAAACCAAACAAAAAACCACAGAAAAAACAAGTCAACACTACCATTCCCCCTCATATTCTTAGATTTCACTAATAAAACATCAGTACCTTGGTATCTGGCTTTGTATGATTCAGATAGTATACCTAACAGCCCAATTAGTGTGCAAACATCGGTTAATGTTTCAAGAAGTATGGAAGGATTAAATGCACAGTTAAGTGCTCTCTTAACTTTGAGGGGCATTGCAACTGCCCAGCTTTACTCAACATGTGAATCAGCATAACGTAGGTAAGAATTATATTTTGTTTTCACCAACACTTAAAGTTCTAGACTGTTTTGAGTGCAGCTAATTATAGTATAGTTCTTTGAACAGGGAACAACATACCAGCATACAGGAGTGCCTCTATTAATTACCAAACCTTGACAGAGCTTTCAAAAGTGTGCTTATAAAAGGTTTGCTAGTTGCTAGTAGAAGCATATTGAAACTGTAAGACAGCATCTCTTTTATCCCAGTGCAAAATTCCTATAGCACCTTCCTGTTGGTAACCTTCACAGGACACCTTATGCCTGGGAGTAGGGACTGCTATCAGCAAACCCAGAACTCTTCATCATCTCTGAAGAGAAATAATAAAACTTAGTGAAGAGGCATCCAAAACTGGAGTTTTATGAGGCTGCATGGGAAGGAGATACCTTCTGTGAGTGACAAAAATGTGATACAAACCTAACTTCAGCTTTGGCCAATCAACCTAGGAAGGTGCCTGAAGAGCCTTGCCCAATGTGAAGTCATGAATTTTGCTAGAATAACTCCTGGAATTTCAGGTTTTCACCAGGCATTGGTACAGTGTGGGTGCCCAGGTTTGGGGGGGGGAGGGGCTGCAGGACAGTCACTGTGAGGAGAAGCCAGGACTGCTCTGAGTAGGACACAGCAGTTCCCACTAGCTCCAACCAATCCACCGCAGGGCACAGATGAGCCCCACAGCCAAGATGTTGGTGCCTTAAGGAAAGCATCTTTGAAAAAGGGCAGAAACTGCCACACACCTGCCACACACAGGTAGGAGGAGAGGAGAAAAAAAGTGAGGAACAGCAGTGCAAACACCATGGCCAGAAGAAGGAGGGGAAGAGGCACCCCAGGCACTGGAGGAGGTATTCCCCTGCAGCCCATGGAGATGACCACAGCAAAGCAGGTATTCACACTGCAGCCCATGGACCCCATGCCAGAGGAGATATTCACAGCCTGTGGCAGACCCCATGCTGGCACAAGTTTATCCTGAAGGACTGCAGCCCCTGGGGAGGACACTTGCTGAAGCTGGGGGGAAATGTGAGAAGGAAGGAGCAACAGAGAGGAGCTGTTACAGGCTGACTGTAAACCCCTAATTTCCCGTTTCCCTTCCACCGCTTGGGGGAGCAGGAGATGGAGGAGCTTGGAATGAAGGGGTGAAGTTGAGCCTTGGAAGGAGAGTACAGAGGTGGTGTTTTAATTTTTGCCTTTTTTTCTTAGCATCCTATTCAATTTTTAATTGGCAATAGATTAATTTTCCCTAAGTTGTGTCTGTTTTGTCCATGATGGTAAAGACACTTGCCCTGTCTTTATCCGGGCCCATGACATTTTTCACATAGTTTTCTCTCCCTGTCCTGTTCAGTAGGGGGAGTGAGCAGCAGCTAGGTGGGTGTTGGCTCTTAGTCAAGGTCAACCCACCACAGTACTGTACAGCAACATTTGGGGAACTTGCCATGTGGCCAACAGAAAGTCTGCTGGAAAGAGAATGTTTCCTCTCAAAAGTGTGCAAGGTGGTTATCACTGTACATCTGTTCAGAGGCAGTTCATCCCTGTAGGTGATGACTAAGGTAATCATGCAAGTACTTGCAAGTTCAGATGAACCCATCAAGGAACTGCATGAAGATAGTCAAGTTTACCGTTTAATCTGAGCTGAGCACTCAATTCCCACCAGAAACCATTTCAGTTCACCCTTTATTTAATAAAAGTTCCTTTTCTTTTCTGTCAAATGCAGCAAACTATTTAAGCCTCAACTTTAGTGGAAAGGCAATTTACTTAATTCACAAAGTTATTCTTTTAATTGGATTTGAGTGAATCTCAACTTTTCTGAAACTCAAGAGAAGAAGGTTACTGGCTTGGCTTCGCAGATGCTATTTCTGCTTCCATTTCAGCTAGCACCTGAAGCAAGGTTATTTCTCTCTGAGGATGTCAGTCTGAGTCAGTGGCATCCACTGCAGTTTTATTAATTTAGTAACATAAAAATGTAAGAAAATTGAATGTTAAAAACAAACTCTCCTCTCTTTAACACATTTTTAAATTATGGAAATGTTAATTAGGCTGACACAACGTGATCATCAGGCTGTATCTTCAACTGAAAAGAAAAAAAATTCAATGATTCACATTTTGGTGAGGAAATATTCTTGTCAGCTTCATCATGCAGCTGTGGCATTTGATCCACCTGAGCACAGGCTGGTAAATGAGACAGAATTGATGTCCACAGGTTGTCAGTTGCCTTTGCTAAGAAAATTCAGTAAACAGTGAAGCACAACCAGACTGGTCTACACTAAAATAACAAGAGGCTCCTCTTGTATTCTGGCAAGGATTTTTCTTTATCTTTTTTAGTTGCAGTGAATTCTTAGGTGATAGGAAAGCGCATAGCTATCACAATCTCAGTTCCAAACAGCAGGAGCTTCTACATGGTGCATTAATGCAAAAAATGCTCCCCTTTCCTCTTAGCTTTCCTTCCCACTGCACAGGCAGACAGGAGTGGGCAGTGTGTATTATTAGTGTTTGTGTTTATGTACCATGTATAAGCATCAGCTGAGTCTATGGCTGAGCATGTGGTCCCCTGGTGGCACCAGGGATGGTATAAAAACAGAATAGGACACAGTTTTTGCTTCCAGAAGTTTCTAAGTCCAATGAGACAAGAAATACTGTAAAAGGAAGCAAACCACAGAGTTGAAGTGATTTGGCCCAGGCTACCCACTGCCAGAGCTGGGAACTGTCATCAACTCTTACATGTCCAAGACCCTGTCTTTGGCATTGTGCTTCTGTTAAAACCACACACCTGCTTCTACAAGACCAGCAGCAAATAGTGTCAAAGAATGTGCCTCAGAAGTGGAACATTCAGTGCTAACAAAGAGATTATGTATCTGAATTCATGAAATAAAAAAAAAAAAAAAACCCCACAACAAAGAACCCAGGTGCCTCTAACAGTGAGTCATACAAAATTGGAATTCAGGTAAGGCAATGAATTCACATTCTACGGCTGCACGCATAAACACCAAGGTAGTTGTTGACATTTCATTTTCTTATATTTCTATTCCAGAGAGGAATTATATATTCAGTTTACATAGGTTTATTGCCTTAATTGCTTAGCAGCATTTGGTATAATACTAAAAAGGTCAAAATAATGTTTTTGATATCTATTGTGAGGTCCTGAGCCCCTGTGAATTACAACTGTAAAGCTTTCCTTCTAAAACAAGAAGTAGTCTAGATGTGAATGTGCATAAATGAAATGGCTTCAGAGGTGGGAAAAAGGAAAAAGAGGTAAATACTGTTTAAGCTACATGCACAAAAAACATATTTATGGAGGTAAATACTATTTTCTCTGGTAAGTGGAAATACGCGTGTGCTGTCGCATCTGAAACCCTCAGCTGTGATTTTCTCATTGCCTGCTCCTAAGTGCAGACCCTGGAGGGAAGGAAGCCTGTGGCTCTGCTCATACAGAAGTCTGGTAAGATCATCCACTCCCAAGCATTGGGACTCATCTAGTGTTTCCCATTTACACTTTGCAGTAATAGAAAAATTAGGGGGGTTATTAAACAAAACTTTCCTACAGAAAGCTTTGTTCTCTTTTAAACATTTTCAGGTTCTGAGGGAAAACCTTTTCTTTTTATCAAATATTCCTTTTCTTCAACAAAATCTCAGTGTTTTTCTAAAGAATGTTTTCTTTTACAAACAGCTGTAATGAATATCTTATGTGAATGACTAACTATGTAATTGATTATCATATAAGGTCAAGGTATGATGTTGAGTAATTCTGGTTAGCTCTGTTGAAGTCCAAAGAGTTATGGCCAGGCAGTGAATTTTCCAAGATACTGTGAAGTCAGTACCACTGCACCACACCATCCTCTCTCTGTCCACACCAGCAAGTGAACCTGCAATTATTAATGTGTTGAGTCTTATACATGTACTTCAATCTTCTGATCAGGCCTACATGATCCATGACATTATATGCCCGATGAGGGCATGGTTATTACTGTTTTCCTTTTTCAGTCCTAAATTCCTTTGTATGTTTCCCATGTTGAAAGCACTGAACGGCTTCAGAGCTGCCCACTGTGGCTAAATAGGAAATTGTTTCAATCAAACGATTTCCCACTCTGTGATGATATGTGCTGTAGCTTCAGTGCATGACTCCTACTGCTAATTTAGCTTAATATGAACATGTAAAATCACAAAATCATTTGGCAACAGCAGTGTTAGGATGCAAATCAGAGCTGTTGCCATGAGATGAAGATTAATTTTCTAAACCAGAGGATGATATTTTACCTGGAAAAGCTGCAAACTCTGAAGAACTTAATCTGCAAATAAGGATATGGACTTGTATAAACTACAGCTGATTCAGGTATGTACATTACCAAACCATTATGACATTACACTGAAGGTACTGCAGTTTTTATAAGTCACACTTTAATACAGTAATCGGTACATTTATTTTTAATTTAGCATTTCGTATGATTTTCATGAAAGAGTAAATGTCAGAAATTGGTATTTTCTCTACTTCCTCAGACCAATATTTTTCTGAACAAGTGTCACTATGACTATACAAGCAAAAGTTAAATCAGGATTTAGGGTTTTATTGCCATCTTCTATACAGTCACAATCAGAGCTGGATGCTAGAAATGAGGAAAAAAAGACCTTTCTGGACATTGAGTCTAATTCAATGCAAAACATCTGCTGTCATCTGTGTATTCACAAGGTTCCTTGTGATGGATTCCTCCAGAAAGAGAAGGAGGCAAGATGGTGAAAGAAAAATTCTCTCGGCATCAACCTGCTTCTGTTCCACCCTTTTCCTTGCTTAGACTTCGCTAATTCCATTTATTCTGTTTAGAATGCTACAAATACATCCTATCTGTCATGTTGTCTTGTATACCTGCTGTAATAATCAAATAATTGAGTCTCTCCTGTTAAGCCCACACACTTACTTCTTACTTTTTTGGGAGTCCTGATACATTTTGTGTTCATTGTACAGTAGCATAAAAGTAACATATGTCTGCAGAGGGATACCCCATCTTCACTCTAATCTACTTCACCAAGAGAAACCAAACAGAACCCCCAACTATTTCAACCAAACCAGGGTGAAAAAACTCTACCAGCCCTTAAATCTATATATGATTCACACCTGCTTTTGCTTTAAGCTTTGGAGGACCAGCCTTTTACACAGATGAAAATTAAAACAGTCCTGTCTAGGTTCTTCTTTCCCAGTCACTCCATACTGGAGTTGCTTAGCAAAAAATGCTTCACTGTGCCTTTACATCAAATATTCCACAAGGATAAGCTAGTCAGCACCTCTTTTATCACACTAAGTCTTCCTCAGATTGCATCCACTCAACCAGTCCTCTCTCAGGGCATGTTTGGTGTTTCTCAG